ACTTTACGAGCTTTCTCTTCTCCCACTTTATTTTTTATTTTTTTATTTTTTCTTTTTCATTTTAAGACCAGTGTTTCGAGAGTAATACGATGTTAGAAGGTCGAAATGTTAAAAAAGAAAGCACTTAAGTAGGAAATAAATTTCAAAAAAAGAAAATTATTGCGTGAAAATTCTGTTCGTTAATTAATTGTTAATTGAAATTAATAATATATTATTTATTAGTATTTATTGAGTTAATTATAATATTAAATTAATTTAGTTAATATTATTATTAATTCAATTGAACTTGAAATTTTCTACAAAGAAAAAGATAAAACTGGAGACAAATAAATTGTGATAAATAATTATTATTAATTTAATTGAATTTCAAAATTTTTTTCCAAAGAAAAAATAAAACTGGAGACAAGGAGATTTAAACAAATAATTATTATTCATTTAATTGAGTTGCAAATTTTTTTTTTCAAATAAAAAATTGAAAAGAAAAATTTATAGAGGAATAATAAATATAAAATAAAAATAATATTTGAAAAAAAAGTGATACAAAAAGTTGTTTTGAATTTAATTGATAACAATGTGATTTCTTTCTGGAGTGTTTTTGGTGTGTTTCACTGAGCACAGTTAATCCTGTGAGATCAAATGAACTCTTGATTCTTTTTTTTTCTTCACTTTTCTGCGTCACTGATTTTTTTCTTTTTTTATTGTAAGGTTAACGCGAGAACCAAAGGTATTTCTTTTCTGGCACTTTGATCTTTTCTTCTGCACTCGAAATGAGAGTAAAGTACATTTCTTTTAGTTTGTGACTACAATTCAATGGGAAAAAAATAATTGTGTGGAAAAATTTGCTTATTCATTTATTTATAGAGTAAAATTTTAGTTTTTAATTTTTTTTCCAAAATTTATTTATTTTTATTTATTTTTATTTATATTTTTAATAATAATGATCAGATTAAAATTTAATGCAGTCATATTTTTAATTATTTATTTACGGGGCTTGAGTATTAATTATTTTTTAAATCAGATAAATTTTATAATTTTATAATTATTATACACTCGAATAATTGTTTCGAATTGAAACAATTCATTTAATATTTGATATTTTTTTCTTACCATTATTATTTCTTTTCAAAAAATTTTTTTGTTTTTTTCCCATTGAAATAAAAGAATGCTTCGTCTCATTAAAAAAATTTTCTTTAAGAAAAAAATTTTTTTTTTTTATTCTTCACTGGATAAATTTCCTTTAAGCAGTTATTTCAAAAATGCTGTTTCAGCACATGGCTCATGCTCGTTACTTTATATTCTTTAGGTGAACGCAACCTACACCACGTAGAACACGTAAAGGAAAACTTCCGACATTCGTAAACTGAACAGAATAATAATGAGCAATGTGATTAGTCAACTTTCATACTTTTGTATAAAATGTCGACCTTTTGTGCAATTATTGTTTAATTAATTACGATTGCTGAAATCGTTTGTGTGCAGTGAAGCAATTTTATGAGACAATTTCAGTAGAAAAGGTCAGTGTGCCGTCAGACGGTCAGGCGATTTCTGTCATGAAATACATTATTATTTTCTCATGAGCGTGGAATAATTAATTTCTTTTTGTTTATTTGATTTCGATTTTTTTAAATTTTCTTCTGAGGGATAATAAAATAATGACAATATTGACTTTAATAATAATAATAGTAATAATAATAAAAATTTTAAAAAAATTAATAATAATAATAATAATAATGAGAATATAAATAACAAGTAATAGTAATAATAATAGGAATTGATTATTTTTTTAAGTAGAATTGGTTAGTTTTTTGCTAACTATTAAAACAAACATTCAGCAAAGATTTTTAATAATAATTATAGTTATTTTTTACTAATTTTAAATTTAGAAAGAAATTTTGAAAGTTTGTTACATGTTTTAGTATAATTAGAATTTTTTTTTATTTTTGTTAAAACTGGAATTAAAACTAGAAAGAATTAAAGAGCATATAATTAGGAATTATAGTCAATTTTTACTCAGCAGAGTAAAAAACTTTGTTTCATTACTTTCAGTGATAATTAAAGTAATTCTTTAAATAGCGTTTCTAGGTAAAAACTGAAAAACTGTGATAGCCTGTAAAAGACATGAAATTTTAAAAAGTGAATGGAAAATTTGGAAAAATCGTAAATATATTTATGAATAATTAGTTCCTAGAGAAAAACAAAAAAATCTGTTAATTTAAAACTGTTTTCTGAGTAAAAGACGATAATTCAGTTAGTAAAGTTTACTAAAAGAGTATTGAATAAACGTTAAATTATTTTTCAAATTTGTTAAAATTATTTCTTAAATAAAAAAATTAAGCTTAATAATAAATAAAAATAAATGAATTGACTTTTACTGTTAATTCTATTACATGTTTACTAAACTGTAGTTATAGCTAATTAGTTAACTATAAAGAAAGTTTACACTTTCATATCATTAATTATTAATTTCATTATTAAAATTAATAAAAATAATTAAATTATAATAATTATTAAGTTAATAATTTTTACTATTCATAAAAATTTGAATAATATTAAATTACTAATATCAAACTTTGTTAATTTAATTAAAAAACCAAACGTTATAATTATAATTAAAAATCATAATGCATATACTAATAATAATTAATACTTTTTTAAATATGAAATAATTAATACTTTTCTAAATAATATGCATTAACAAATTATTAATTAGTGATTTTTGTTACGTAATACATTTTTTTCTTTATTTTATAAATGAATAGAATTTTAATTCATATACTCAGAAAACGGTTGATTTAAATCAGAGATAAATTTTCAATATCTATAGCAGTAAGAGAAAAATCTTTATTTTAAAGGAAATAAATTTGTTTCTAAAAGTTTTTCCACTTACTGTCTATATTTTTAATATGATTTAATATTTAACATAATTTAATCAGATTAAACTTAATCTGGTGTTTTTGAATCTAAATTTACGATTTCGACGTTTTAATTATGATGAATAGTTAGTTTTTAACTATGATGAGTAATTAGTTTTTAATACGGATAGGATTGCCCAAAAAATGTTTTGAAAAATCAAAATTTATTTTAAAAATAAAAAATTTGCGACTTATAATTGATTTTAAATTATATTAGGATGCAAATTTTGTTTCGCTCACTCTTTGCCTTAGAGTAAGATTTTAATTTTCAAGGATTTTTATAGCTGAAAAATTAATTAAATTTTAATTAAAAATTAATTAAAGAATAACAATTCTGTTTTGTAGAATTAGAAAAAACGTTTTTTGAATATAGCAATTGATATAAAAATAGAACTATGGAAGGATTCGAAGCGTCTTGACGCATTTGAATTTATTAATACGTAATGAGTAAAATTTACTCCTTATCATTTGAATTAATTTACTTGATAAAATTGTACATTTTATTTTTATTCACTCATTATTGTAAGTGCATCAAGAGAAAAAGTTTATATCAAGGAAATAATTTATTTAAATTAAATAAAATTATATTTTTCTGATGGCTTACTAAACTATTTGTTTTAAATAGTTTTTATTCGGCACAAGTAAAATATTTATTTTAATCAAATTAATCTAACTTTTTATTTGGTTCAAATAAAAATTTTATTTTGCTTATTTAATAAAATTTTCATTTAAAGCAAATAAAAAATTCATTTGTAGCAAAAATGGTAGTAGGGAGTCAACATTTTAATAAGTAAAATTCTAAGTGAAGAAGATACACTTTTTGACAAAATTGCACAATTTAAATTAAATTTACAATTACCAAATGTTAATATGGTTTTAATATTGAAAAAAGGTAAAACAGTTTATTTGAAAATTCATTAATTTTTATATTACAAACACTCAGAGGCAAAGGGAATTTTGTTGCTGAAAACAATAAAATTCTTATTTACTTAGAAGCAATTAGTCGCTCTCTAAATTTTATTTAGTAAAAATGTTTATTAATTTGACTCTAACTCTTAGTATTTGATGATTTAAATAATAATTTTATTTTTTCTTTATAAATTTTAATTAGTAAAAATGTTTACTAATTTTAATTAGTGACTGACTTTTTGCTATTGAATTAGTAAATTTTACTAATAAATAGTAATTTCTACAGTAATTATATAGTAATTTCTAAATAGAAATTTTATTCGTAAAATTTACTAATTCAAAAGCAAAAAGTCGGTCATTATTTCAAATTAGTATTACAGAAAATTATGGGGCATTATTGTAACACCAAAATAGATTAATATAATCTCTCTAAATTTGAATTAGTAAAAATGTTTAGTAATTTGAATTAGTGCCTTACTTTTTGCTTTTGAATTAGCAAATTTTACTACTAAATTATTATTCAAATTAATAATTGTTATTAAAATAAATAATTAAATAAATAAATAAATTGGTAAAAATCACTATTAGTAAAATTTACTAATTCAAAAGCAAAAAGTCAGTAACTATTTCCAATTAGTAAACATTTTTACTAATTTAAATTTAGAGAGAATCTGCAAAGCTTTAATCCATCAAGAATTAAAATAATCCATCGAAGAAATATTTTTCTAGAATGTTTTAAAAATTATTTGATTTTGATATAGACACATTTTTTTACCGAAAATATTAATTCAAAAATAGACCCTTTGTAATAACTCTTACATAAACATTTTTACTAATTTAAATTTAGCCCAATTTTTCTAAGGATATCAAATTGAGACAAAAAACGAATCAAAAGGGTTGCGAAGCAACGTTTTGATTCGTTTTTTGTCTCAATTTAATATCCTTAGAAAAATTGAGAGAGCACATTGATAAATACCATATTTTCGGGGTTTATTGTAAATGTAAAATTGAAAAAAAGCAAATGATTTCAAAATTTTTATTTTTTTCTCTAATTTAAATTGTGGTACTAAAGTACTTCTTTATGTAATATGAAAAGTTGTGTCAAGAGCGCTTTGATCTTCCTTAGAAGAAAAATTCATTGATATAAAAAGAGGGGAAAAAAGTTGTTAAAAAACCTACAGAGATTGACTGGCCTCGACTTGGTAGAAGTAGGTCGTACTGGTGGTGAGTTGTTTTGGCCGTGGACCAATCTTCCGGTAAACAAGAAGAGGCCGAAAATGATTAGGGCAAGCCGGAGGCACCTCATCGCGCCGTCAGGCGTTGAGGTAGCCAACTGTTCGCGTGTTCAAATGTACTTTACTCTTGTGTTGATAAGTAAACAAAAGAATAGGGAGGTGGCAGTGCGGTGTACCGTGTGGAATGTTGCTTTGAAAAAAGAAACTAAAGAGTGTGGCTGGAAATGTCTTTTTTTTCACATTCTTTCGTTCTTTTTCTCCCTCCCCCCGAGAATGATGCTTTAGTCGAATCGTGTTTGTCCATTGGTTGCCGCGGGGATGACCCAATCAATTCTCACCAAGTGGCATGTATTTTCTCCTGCCCTTTTTTTTTATTTATTTCGTGACACTCCCATTCTTTTCTCGACCTTGTTCATTGCCTCTCTCTCTTGCTCTTGCTCTGTATGTGTTTGTATTTACACGATCAGAAATTGCCTTTATAAGCTCGCGCATTGGTGCGATATTCTTTTAACCAACCCTCGCGAGTCCTTCGACTTTACAAATAATATATATTAAGTTTGCGAGTATTTTGTCTCCTCCCCTTTAGGAATTTTTGAGAAATTGTATAAAATGAGAAAGACAGAAAAACTTTGTCCAATTTTTTTTGCATTATAATTAGACTGAAAAAAATTTAATTAATTCAAATAAACGATTAGTTATAATTATATGATTTAAGTACAAAAATTATTTATTTGATAATAGATAAGTGATTGTTCTTTTTTGAATCAAATTGCAAAAATATCACAAAAAATGCTCTCCAAATCTGGTTTAGTAAAATCTAAAATTAATTAGAGCAAAAAAAATACGATCTTCCCTAATTGAATAACGATATTTAAAATTAAAATTTTCTTCAAGAAAAACATATTGCAGAGAAAAAAGTTTTGAATCTTTTTTTTTAAATACTCTGAAACAGTTTCAAAGAGTTTTTTTTTTGCAGAAACTTTATAATTGATGAAAAAAGAGGACAGATGTTTAGTGTCGTTTTTATATTTATCTTTTTGTTTTTGTTCTCCTTTTTTCTTGTAGAAAAGTCAAAAAGGTAGATGGGTATGATAAAGTGCTAAAGGTAGTCGGTTTTAAAAATTAGTCAAGCTTCGATGTCTCCCGAATTGAAGCTTTCATTCAGCTGCTCTTTTTGAGACTTCAAGAGTCATTCAGCCTTATAGAGAGCGACCAACTAGAAACTATCCGGCTTAGAGAAATAAGTCTTTGGGATGCGTTCCTATTCCCTCCAAGTGGGATTTCTTTTGATTTCTTCTTTTATTCGAATACTAACACAAAAAGTCTGCCAAAAAATCTCAAGTTGCTCTTTCATGTAGTACGTCTTGTTTTCTTTTTTCTATTTTTTTTCCTTAGACAATTAAATTGTTGTATTAAAGTTTTAGTTCAGTTTGATAAAGATAAATATTTTGTGTCTCGAAATTTGAATTTGTTAAAAAGAACTAACTGTCTAAAAAATGTAAAAACGTAAATTCTTTTCCAAAAAACAAGAATAAAAAAGATTTGTGAAGCTGGCTGAACCACTTTCACAAAAATTAATTTTTATTATGTCATTAATTTGTGCTCATTTAGTGCGATTGAGCACTAAAGAAAATCAAAATCATCAGACAATCAAAATTTTTTGATAAAGACAACAACATTTTTTTCTTCGAATTTTGAATAATTCTTTTATCGACAAATCACCTAATTTTTTTTAGGAACTGAACCGTATACAGTCCTAAAGGATAGATTATTTTATTTCAACTTTTAAGTAGTTTCAATTCAATCCACTAGTCAGCAGACAATCGGAATTTATTAAAACAGGACATTAGAATTTATTTCTTCAATTTTTAAATATTCCTCTCATCGGGAAATCTCCAATATTGTAGTAAATAGTGGGACTTACACAAACATGAAGAATAGAAAATTTTGTTCCAATTTTTAAGTATAGTAGCAGGTACACCCGACAGCTATCAGACAATCAAAATTTGGCTAAAAACACATTAAAAATTTATTTCTTACAAATTTAATAATTCTAAACATCTAAAAATTACCAGAGTTCTAGTAGGGATTAAGACCAACACAATCCTGAAGAATAGAGAATTTTATTTAAATTTTGTAGTAGTAGCAGGTCCACCCGTACGCTATCAGACAATCAAAATTCTGTAAAAACACATTAGAAATTTATTTCTTCGAAATTTAATAATTCTAATCATCTGCAAATTACCGGAGTTCTAGTAGGGATTGAGCCCAACACAATTTTGAAGAATAGAGAATATTATTTAAATTTTGTAGTAGTAGCACCCTTACCCGAACGCCATCAGACAATCAAAATTTGATAAAAAACATATTAAAAATTTATTTCTTCCAAATTTAATAATTCTAATCATCTGAAAATTACCAGAGTTCTAGTAGGGTCTAAGCCTTACACAATCCTGAAGAATAGAGAAATTTATTTAAATTTTGCAGTAATAGCAGCCTTACCCGAACGCCATCAGACAATCAAAATTTGATAAAAAACATATTTAAAATTTATTTCTTCCAAACTTAATATTTCTAATCATCTAAAAATTACCTTAGTTCTAGTAGGGACCAAGCCCTACTAAATCCTGAAGAATAGAGAATTTTATTTCAATTTTTAAGTAGTAGCACCACCACCCGTACGCTATCAGACAATAGAAATTTGTGTAAAAATATATTAAAAATTTATTTCTTCCAAATTTAATAATTCTAATCATCTGAAAATTACCAGAGTTCTAGTAGGGTCAAAGCCTTACACAATCCTGAAGAATAGAGAAATTTATTTAAATTTTGTAGTAGTAGCAGCCTTACCCGAACGCCATCAGACAATCAAAATTTGATAAAAAACATATTTAAAATTTATTTCTTCCAAATTTAATAATTCTAATCATCTGAAAATTACCAGAGTTCTAGTAGGGTCTAAACCTTACACAATTCTGAATAATAGAGAAATTTATTTCAATTTTTAAGTAGTAGCAGGTCCACCCGTACGCTATTAGACAATAGAAATTTGTGTAAAAATACTTTAAAAATTTATTTCTTCCAAATTTAATAATTCTAATCATCTGAAAATTACCAAAGTTCTAGTAGGGTCTAAGCCTTACACAATTCTGAATAATAGAGAAATTTATTTCAATTTTTAAGTAGTAGCAGGTCCACCCGTACGCTATCAGACAATAGAAATTTGTGTAAAAATACATTAAAAATTTATTTCTTCTAAATTTAATATTTCTAATCATCTGAAAATTACCTTAGTTCTAGTAGGGACCGAGCCCTACTAAATCTTGAAGAATAGAGAATTTTATTTCAATTTTTAAGTAGTAGCACCACGACCCGTACGCTATCAGACAAAAGAAATTTGTGTAAAAATAACTTAAAAATTTATTTCTTCCAAATTTAATATTTCTAATCATCTGAAAATTACCTTAGTTTTAGTAGGGACCGAGCCCTACTAAATCCTGATGAATAGAGAATTTTATTTCAATTTTTAAGTAGTAGCACCACCACCCGTACGCTATCAGACAATAGAAATTTGTGTAAAAATACATTAAAAATTTATTTCTTCCAAATTTAATATTTCTAATCATCTGAAAATTACCTTAGTTCTAGTAGGGACCAAGCCCTACTAAATCCTGAAAAATAAAGAATTTTATTTCAATTTTTAAGTAGTAGCAGGTCCACCCGTACGCTATCAGACAATAGAAATTTGTGTAAAAATACATTAAAAATTTATTTCTTCCAAATTTAATATTTCTAATCATCTGAAAATTACCTTAGTTCTAGTAGGGACCGAGCCCTACTAAATCCTGAAGAATAGAGAATTTTATTTCAATTTTTAAGTAGTAGCACCACCACCCAAACGCTATCAGACAATAGAAATTTGTGTAAAAATACATTAAAAATTTATTTCTTCCAAATTTAATATTTCTAATCATCTGAAAATTAACTTAGTTCTAGTAGGGACCGAGCCCTACTAAATCCTGAAGAATAGAGAATTTTATTTCAATTTTTAAGTAGTAGCACCACCACCCGTACGCTATCAGACAATAGAAATTTGTGTAAAAATACATTAAAAATTTATTTCTTCCAAATTTAATATTTCTAATCATCTGAAAATTACCTTAGTTCTAGTAGGGACCGAGCCCTACTAAATCCTGAAGAATAGAGAATTTTATTTCAATTTTTAAGTAGTAGCACCACCACCCAAACGCTATCAGACAATAGAAATTTGTGTAAAAATACATTAAAAATTTATTTCTTCCAAATTTAATATTTCTAATCATCTGAAAATTACCTTATTTCTAGTAGGGACCGAGCCCTACTAAATCTTGAAGAATAGAGAATTTTATTTCAATTTTTAAGTAGTAGCACCACCACCCGTACCCTATCAGACAATAGAAATTTGTGTAAAAATACATTAAAAATTTATTTCTTTCAAATTTAATATTTCTAATCATCTGAAAATTACCTTAGTTCTAGTAGGGACCGGGCCCTACTAAATCCTGAAGAATAGAGAATTTTATTTCAATTTTTAAGTAGTAGCACCACCACCCAAACGCTATCAGACAATAGAAATTTGTGTAAAAATACATTAAAAATTTATTTCTTCCAAATTTAATATTTCTAATCATCTGAAAATTACCTTAGTTCTAGTAGGGACCGAGCCCTACTAAATCCTGAAGAATAGAGAATTTTATTTCAATTTTTAAGTAGTAGCACCACCACCCAAACGCTATCAGACAATAGAAATTTGTGTAAAAATACATTAAAAATTTATTTCTTCCAAATTTAATATTTCTAATCATCTGAAAATTACCTTATTTCTAGTAGGGTCTAAGCCTTACACAATCCTGAAGAATAGAGAAATTTATTTAAATTTTGTAGTAGTAGCAGCCTTACCCGAACGCCATCAGACAATCAAAATTTGATAAAAAACATATTTAAAATTTATTTCTTCCAAATTTAATAATTCTAATCATCTGAAAATTACCAGAGTTCTAGTAGGGTCTAAGCCTTACACAATTCTGAAGAATAGAGAA